TTTTTCCCAGAATGTTTTATAACTATTGTTCTCTCGGTTTGTCTGCTCTTGCTGCTGCTGAAAGTTGGAAAATGCAGGATTTAGAACTTTCTTTTTGTGTCCATGGTAGCCATAAGGCCTCGCTGTTTGGTACAGCCATCTGAAGGGTGTTTGTTCCTTCCTTTTCTGTGGCTAGTGAGGCTTGTTTGCCTGTGGTAACCCGCCAGAACAACCCTAGATTCCCTTACAAAGTGAATGGTTGCTTGTCAGAAGCCCTATGTGGCAGAACAGCATAGATCCTTACAGGACTCCTCAGAGAGAATAGGTGCTGCCCTGCTCCTGCAGTCTGAAAAGAAATTTGGGCCATCTCTATAGAGTATAATCTTCTTTTGCCTTCATTGCCCTGTTTTTCTCTTCTTTTCTTTGTAAAGTGGATTTCTGATTTCTTTTTTTCACTATTTTATGTTTTCCTTTTTGTCATTTTCTTTTGTTTTTTTTTCCTTTTTAAGTCACGCGCAGATGCCAACATGAAAAGAGCTCCAGAAATGTATTGAGTGTCTAAACCAATCTTGCTGAGGGAAGAATTCTGGATATGGATAACATGAGCTTTATTCAGATAAAGCCACTAAACCTCCTTAGCTTCCCCCTGAAGTCTGTATTTGCTGTGGACAMTTTGGCTTCGTTGGGCTGTTAGTTGATGGCTCAGTTACAGAGCACTTTCCTCTCTTCTGCCTGTACAGAAGCTGTCCTGAGATTATGGAATGGAAATACAGCAGTTTGGGGGTTCGGGGAGCTTGAGGAGAGGTAGGTTTTTTGGTAGAACACAAGTGAGGCAAAAATGGAGCCCACTACCCTGTGGCTGCCAGACGTGGTGCAGTTTTAGTTCAGCTGCCTTCTGGTGGCATAAGCAAATAGCACTTCTGTGCTGGCAAGTGTTTCCATAAACAGCACATCCATGTGGCTAATGCTGAGTTTTCAGGATTGCTTTTGCAGGTCACTCAACTCCCAATGGTTCATCTTCTGCTTCTCGGCTTCTCCTGGTGTTTTTAATTCCCCTCTTTCTCTCCTCTTCTGCGCCTCGTGTCCATCCAAGGGCTGTTCCAACCTACTCTGCCTCCTGCCCAGCACTTAGGCTCCTGAAGATTTCAGGCCTGTGATGAACAGTCACTGTGCCCGACTGTTCAACCCAAAGCAAACATTAGATAGTGGGAGATGGGATTCGATCACATGGGGATTTTACTGAAGAGAAGTATAGGGTTTCAGTCCACCCTTAGCAAGAATTTTCCTTGCATGCTCTCTGGCACAKGTGCCAACATCCCACTTGGTGGATACTTCACTCTAGGAGTTCCTCATCCACTTGGGAAGATCCTGTTGGAGCTGTAAGGGTCTAACCGCAAGACAGGCAAAGAGAGTGCAGGAGACCTAAAGAGAGGCTGTTGGTGCAAGGCAGGGACTGGGGAATCTGGCCCTGGTTTCCAGACAAGTGCTTTGGGTTCTATACTTCTTGGTGTTTATTTTGTTTTACTCTGGGGTGTCTAAATATTTCACGGGCAGTTAACACCCACAGCAGGAYTGTGAGGCTTTATTTGAGCTGTTCTGCCAGTGCTCAGGTGGAGGAACTGAAAAAGCGAAAGGATCTGTCTAAAATCTTTGACTCTGATAGATCTGTGTTGAAGCTGATGAGGAAATCCCGGCCTGAGTTCAAGGCCCGTGCTCTTCCGTGCGTCCTCCRTGCTGGCTTTGCCAGTCTGATTTTGCAAACCGCCGGCCCGCCGCGCTGGCTTTCCTGCAGCAAGTTCCACAGGTACAACTCCTTGGGAATGCATGTGGGCTCAGCCCGCTCCTCTTGTGCCGTGATAAGAGCTGCATGCGAGCGGCCCAGAAAATACGTGGCTAGCAAGCAGCAGCTTCCACCTTTCCTGAATGATTAGCTTGCTTTTTGAAGTCCTAATGATTTTAATTTGGCTTGGAGTCAGTGAGTAAGAGTATGCAAAGCCTTAGCCAAAGTATCTGTTTGTTTATTTAAATTTTATCAGCGCATATTTCTTCAAAGACGAGTCCCTGCCTCTTTGTCTAAGCACTTTTTAATAAATGTATAAGTATATAAAGGTAGAGCTCTCAAGTGAATCAACTCRAATTCTTTCCATTGTCACGTAGATGAGAACAGTTAATAGAAATGTTTCTTTTTTCTTTAGCTGAGGCGGTGCATGGAGTATTCCTAAGTTATAAAAATGGTGCTGTTTTTTCATTTGACATTTTTAAGAAGGACCACATTTTCTTCGTTCTGTTTATTTCCTGAGACAAGCTTGCATTTTTTTATTTCTCAAGGACATTAATAGCATAATGATTTGTTTAAAATGTCAGTAATTTGTTTTCTAGATACATGTTACCCTAAATCTCTTTTCCTCTTTTGAACTTGACTATCCAAAACATGTCGAGGAGGAGTAAGGTTTTGGATTGTTACATTTCTAGGCCAGCTCTCTTTCACTATGACTTACAGAAATAGGTAAAAGATAATGATGAAATAGCTATATAGCTATATAACAATATACCTTACCTTCAGATACCCACATTATAAGGGGTAGACTGTGTACTGAAATAGCCCCATGTGGGCAAGAAAGGCCTTTGGAGGCAGAGTACTGCGCGTGCTGTGTATGCGGTTACCCCTTCTGTGCCGTGTGGTGCCACTGGAGCTGGGAGGCTCTGCTGCTGGATGCCGGACAATCCTGCGTGCCTCTCGTGGAGGAAATCCCAGGCTAGGCTGCCTGCTTTCGCACAGGAGCTTTTGGGAATAGACAATAACTTTTCCTGGGTTTTCCTGGCAAATGGGGGTCCCAGACGAGATGCGGCTCTGCCGTTGCTATTGGCTGGGTCGGGAGCTGCTCCAGCGGGATGCGCGTAGTGCCGGGGAGCCTGCGGATGGGGGGCTCGCCCCCGGTGTCCGGCCCTGGCGTTGGAGGCCTCTCGGAGGTCCCAGCAGAGCCTCCCTTGGCCCTGCCTTGCCGGTGCATCCATTGGGAGCAGGGACCAGGAGGTCCCAGCGGAGCCTCTCTCAGCTCCGGCACGGGCTGCTCCGCTGGCTGCCTTGCCGGTGCATCCATTGGGAGCAGGGACCAGGAGGTCCCAGCGGAGCCTCTCTCAGCTCCGGCGCGGGCTGCTCCGCTGGTTGCCTTGCCGGTGCATCCATTGGGAGCGGGGAGCAGCCACGTGGGAGCCCCAGCCCCGGGGCCAGCGGCCTCCAGGGCTCCCCGGGCAGGGGCACGTGCTCCAGCCGGCAGCTTGAGTTCATGTCCAGGCTCGCTGCTGTTCCAGGGTTTTTGTTCTTTTGGAAGTTGTCCTCACAATACCTTTTATTCACTTCTTCCCTGATGTGAACGGCTCCAGTTTTTTAGAACTTTTTCCCGCCCCCCCCTCTACAAATATGTACCCCACAGTTATATTTGATAATGAGTCCTTGAAGTCCTTCTGTTGTGGCAATATCATTTTTCAGCATTATACATGTGTATCCAGTTTTTTATTTATACAATATGATATATAATATTTTATATTTTCTGTATTACTTCATTTTCTCACATAGCTTTTTYTTAATCTCCTGACATTGCTCCTCCTCCACACGAAGTATGGAACTTACAAACCAGTGCTAAATTTCTTCCTTGAGTCAATACCATTAATTCATAAGCCAATATGCTCCACTTGAGTATATTGCACTTGTCAATATTGACTTTTGCCAGCTATTGTGTTGCTCATTTACTCAGGTTAGTTGGGTTTATCTGGGTATCTTCTGGTCTAGACTTACCTGCCTGCTTTTGTGTCATGTGGGGGTTTGTTACTCTGCTCATAGCTCCTTTTGCTGATGACTAGCACAGATGTTGCTACCACAGTACCTACCAGTTCCCAGCCACAAAGCTTTGCCCTCAGTAAAAATACACTGTGTATTTCGAAGCTTAATTTTCTCTACAAGTTCTTGAGTGCTTTTTGTCTCTTGTAACGTGACCATTTAGTTACAGGGGGTACATTCCTGGAAATCCATATAAACCATGTGTGCTTTTACTTTTCTTCTGGTGCATTTGAAGAAGTCAGATTTGTGATGTACAGCTCTTACTGCAGCTAGTTGCTGCCCTGTGATCTGCTGTGTGTCTTGTATTTCCACTTTAATGATGCCTTTGACTAAATTAGGGGCTCATCTGAAAAGAAAATACACTCACCCGAAAGTTTCCTGCCTCATCACTTCCTGCCTTTCAAAATGTGGGTGCAGTGTTTGCTGCCATGCAGTCCGGAAATGGCAGCACTGGTATATTTTCTTAGGGGTTCAGTCAACCTGCTCTAAAATTCTTCAGATATTTTTGACTATATGACTGTCCTCTGTGCTCTGATGACTTACTAATACCTATTTAATTTATCTGTCATTTTTTATCTTCTCTCGTCCTCTTTGGGGGTACCTCTGTGTCTGGTGGCATCTCATCTTTTTTATGTAGAACGAATAGGTTCAGGGTAAGTATTTTTCTAATGTGTCCTTGGCAAAAAAAGATGCAAGCAATTGTTTATCTTTCCAGCAACACCCTCATTTTCTTTAATTACATCTGCACCTCCTCTAATCCAAAAGGCCTGCGTATTCTCCCCTAATCGCCCTGGTGGTTATTGCTTGTTTTGTACCTGCAGCTGTTTACTGCAGAGCCCATTTTCGGCCTCGCAACAACAGGCCTTTGTTTCTTTCTTACACAATGAATCTTACAGGCTGCTTTGTTGGCTTCACAAGCATGGTATTTCCATATTCTGCATAACTTTGCCTCGGATTCCTGTAGGTAGAATGGCTGGAGGGCACTCCGAAATAGTACAACTGGTCTGTAAACTGAAGAAGTGTTTGAAGGGCTGTTTGAAGACACTAAGGTTTCATTTCCAGGATACCAAATCCCTCTTAGCCCTTGAAGAGCTTTATAGTGCGCCACACACCTTGCTTATAGGCTCTAGCACTTGCTTTGGAACTCTGTGTGTTACTAAGCTGATTTCTGTTCCTTTCACAGGTTTTAGATGCAGGACGACTAAAAGAATATGGTGAGCCTTACATTTTGCTGCAGGAGAAAGACGGCTTGTTTTACAAAATGGTGCAACAAGTGGGCAAGACTGAAGCAGCTTCTCTCATGGAAACAGCGAAACGGGTAATTTCAAAAGAAGGGTCAATTAAGATGGTCTCTGCAGTTTGTTTTTTGCAAGTTCATGTGTCCAGTGTTATGGTAGACCTTCCCCTACGCATAAGAATTGGCTTTTCAAGACTAACTCCCCATTTTTAGTGCTTTTCCAGTGGGATATGCACAGTCTTTCAAATGATGAATATATTTATGTACACTGAGTTGCAAGACAATTTGGTTTTCTTGCATTTGTCCATACATACATGCAAGAGTAAATGTTAATAATATGTGACATACACTCCTATGGAAGACTCCGGTCTTACAAAAACTTGTAAAACATCCTACAGGCTGCGTAGCCCAGCATTCAGTTGTATAATTTCTGCGTTTTTAAAAAGACTCACACTATTTTCATTTCAGGATCAGTATCAGCACATTATTTTATTGTCTTTCCAAGTGAGATTATGGTTTCATTTTGTGCTGTTTCTTCCTTTGTTCTTGTACCCTTGCTTCATTCTGCACAGGTGATGAATGGTGCTCATTGAATGTTTTGTTGCCTCCTGTTCCTTACCAGGCTCTGTGCCTGTTTACTACTTACTATTCAAATCCTTCTCAGGGCACAGAATTATCAATGTAATTGTGAGCATTCCTCTGGCAATCAAGGTGTTTAAGAAACATCAATGGATTCATTTTCATAATATGCCTCCGAGGTGAAGCTCTGTCATCTCTACTTTTCAGATGGAAAGCTGAAGCAGAGATAGGAAGATAGAAAGTGACCTCTGACTGAGGAGCTCTTTTTGACCATCTTTTGGCTTCATGGCTAGGAAATAAGTTTCTGGTTGTGAGGATTTCTTTTTCCAGAGGGGGAAGAAAAATCCAGACTAAAATCCTATGTTTGCATTTTTTTCAGGGAGTTTTTCAGGTGAAGCTTTGTAGCTAAGAACATAGACCACAAATTCACGTGTGGCACGAATTGCAGAACGCTGCAAACAGGTTTTTTTCCTTAACTAGACACTATCTAACRAGTCCAACTGTTTTCCCCAAATACTGCAATGGGACTCCCTGTATTTTATTACTAGAAGTCTAATGGGATGGCCATGCTCTTCGGGGTATGTGGATGGCAATCTGGAGCTTATACCAATTAGGCTACAAAGGAGCCTGTAAATGAGGCTTGGAGGTCCCGYGGCCAGTGTTTGTCTGCAAAGCGAAGGGCAGCTTCCACAGGCTCCATCCCGGGAATGGCGAGAGGTGAGCTGCCTGGCTGTCATCGGCAGAGATGTAGCCGTGTCCCGCTGCCTCTCCTTCCTTCCCTGCAGCTCTTCCCCCTTGCACAATTGCATTCAAAGATAATTCAAAATATATAAAAATAATTACTTGATGTTACTTGCCCGTATAGTCATCTGCAGTTACCACATCAATGTTATGTGATTCTGTACAGGAAGGGAAGAGATCCAGGAACCAGCCTCTGCTGAAATGTGGTTTCATGAAACAGTTTGCTACCTCCCAGGCTAGAAGGCAGATACAAGCTTCAGCATCTGCCAAGAATGCAAAGCATGGGGCTTATCCATGCTCAGTCCAAAAAAGTAGGCATTGAGAGACCATATCTCCCGTCTGCAGCTATCCAGAAGGACAGCTACAGCTTCTGCTGTTCACATGACTTGGGCATTTTGGACATGACTTGGACATTCATTCAGGGTTTTCTTTGTGGATGTCCCTGGTGCTCCGTGCACCCTTCCAGGGAAGCTGCTCAGTCAGAAGAGCTCGTTCTCGTGGCTCTTCCTTTCGCTCTGTGTGCGTCTGCTGCACGGATTGCTCTTGGTCTCCTACATTCCGACTGTGGTTACTAAGAACTGTCTTGATGAAGAGCAGCTTTTATTCCATTGCTGAAAACCAGCACGCTGCACATTAAAGGAGATGGTAATATGGCATGTGTATGTGTTTCTAAAGGCATTGCAGTGGGTTGCTAAATAAAATGGCTTGGAAGGGGGCCATACTTTGACGGTGATCACTTGATTTATTGCATTTGGGACCTGAACCTTGGGCAGAACGTRCTTGTGTTAAGAGCTTCTTTCAGTAAGGTGAGGCATCAAATGCATTTTTTGGACCAGTGTAGCTTCTATATAATGTTCTTTAAGTGTGTATAACGCACATATGAATAACCATCACAGGTGACTAGGCACTTTAAATTGGAAGCCTAATTTTCCAAGGCTCTCCTCGGTATCCTAGCTAATGTTGAAAGATCCAACCATTCAAGATCATAATATCTCCTGAAACTTCCRCTCCGTCTCCGCAACGGATCCAAACATGCTCTCTGCCTGTGTGTTTAGGTCCATGAGTATCCCYGAATTTTGCACAAATGCAGAAGGAAACCAGCTCGATAGGACTCGAGCTGGAGACTGCAGGGTGCAGCTTGAGCAGGGCTTGAGCCTGGCTGCTAGGGCTGCGCTTTGCACCGTTAGACCTGACTCCAGAATAACGCCCTAGGAGAAAGCTGCTTGTATCTTTGTTCAGTTTACAAGAAGCTGTTAGGAGAAAATCCTATGGGAAAGCGAGATACAGTCACGAGGCAGTTAAAGCAGCGTGTTCAGTTACTCAGATGAACAAAACTTCATGTGCCCTCCTGTTGAGAGCAGCTTTTCCACAAACTTTGGTGGCAGCAGGATAGGGCTGTTTTTCTGTCAATCAATTCTTGAATATTTTGAGGGAAAAGTAAGGATGATTTTGTATTAAAGCTATGACAGATGTGTAAATATTAAAATACTAGCTGTTATCTCACCTCAGTGATTACTTTTTAAAAGGTTGCAGCTCAGTTGGCAACGGAAGAAGCTTGAATAAAGACTTGGGCATTTAATATCTTGAGGGATTGGGCTCAGGGGAAGAATTGCAATGAGACAGTTGAAAAGCAGCTGCCATTTCATTACATCTCTAGTAACGTGCCAAGGTTTTCTATTAACTTTAAAAATAAAATGCTATTCAAAAGCTACAGGAAAAGTACGTCCAAGTTATGTTTTAAAGCAGGAAATGGATGGGAATATGCAAGGGAGCTTCCAGTGTGCAACCAGGCACCTGATTGACTTCCCTCTGGTGCCTCCCATCGTGGCTGCTTCCCGAGGAATGCCTCTCAACAGGACATCCATTGCTTTGGCTCATGCACATGAGACCTTCGCGTCCCTTGGAAGCCCCAGGGAGGCGGGCAGAGCACGTCAGCGCCGCGCACCCWGGACAGCAGCTCTCCTTTCGGGAGCACTTGCGCAGTGTGACCCTTTCCTTTGCATCCCACGTGCCTTCTGGCTGTRTGAAGCACCCGGAGCGGTGTCGACAGCGCTCCCGAACGGCCCCCGGAGAAGCGTCCCGCAAGCCGTGCCGGCGTGGGCCTGGGCTCGTGGCACGCGTCAGCCCCGCACAGATAGCGTGGATTCTGTTCCTAAAGACTCAAACAAAACTTTCCCCATTCTTTGAAAAAAAATGCGTGTGAAGGCCTCTTTCACCCCGGCACATTTCTAGATAAGAGCACACAAGTCTTGACATTATTTCATTTTGTTATGCGCATCTGTCAAGGAACGGAGATATGATACAGTTACTAAAAACTGATGATTGTGGAACAGTGCGACTTGACAGCATTTCATTTCCTTTATGTTCTGATTATACATTTATCAGGGAAGCTGTATCTCTTCTAGTTCAGCTAGAAATTGGTAGGATTCAAGAACTCAAAGGCTCGGCAAAGAACTGTCCTATTATTTGGTATCATCTTACATTTTAGAGAAGTTGCTTGGTCGAGTCATTGTTGGAGCTTTTGCTTCTTTCATTATTGTGATTCGCTATCCAGAGATCACATTTCTATAGGCCCTATAACTGCTCTGCAGCACAAATTAAACGCTGGGGTATTTCATACGTATAGCACGAAGTCTCAATGGTTGTCAATCATAGTTTGTAAAATATAGGGATTACAACCTGATATTAACATCCAAATCCATTGTGCTCATTTTATGTGTGAAAATGAGAAACCCTTGTGCAGACATAAGATTTCACAGCTTCTTTGTCGCCCTGTTTTTAATTTATCTCCATGTTTTGAGCTAGTAAAATGATTTTACTTATCAGCTTAATGTAAAGTGATAACATATATCTATTTATCTGAATTACCAGGATTTGAGTGGATCTCCAGATTGAGTGTTTAGTTCTCAGACTCTGTTGTAATCTAAGATCACACTGTAATTTTACTAATTTTTCAGTGACACTGAATGCCACTGATCCAAAGTTCCTGCTTTCTTTCCTTATCAAAATGAATATACCCCTGCTGTATTAATCTCCAGCATTTTATCTGAAACTAAAGGCTTAAGGTGCAGTTAATCTTGAATTGCTCACCGAATGTAACGTTTGTCCTAGGTTTACTTCAGTAAGAACTATCCCGAAGTTGTTCAGAATGGGCAGCTTGCCACGGACAGCTCCTTGGATCCTKCCTCGGGAGTGTGGATCACCGAAACTGCACTGTGATTCCCGCAGCCGCTTCCCGGAGAACGGAAACCCGAGACTATCCAAACTCAGTGACTGGCCATGAGCAAGAGTAGGGGGGCGATTCTTTGCACTGGACATCCTTTCTATTTAATACTGAGAAGAAATATTTGTGTTATTTTTTTTCTGTGCCTGTTTCTTTAATTTCAGTGCAATACATGTTTTCCTTTCCAACTAAGTATGTTTTTATTGCTGAGGAGATTAGGCGAACTAGGTTTTTATTGGGAAGTTACGTGCTAGAGATCTCTTTTATTTAAGCAGGTGCAGGACACCTAACAGATCTAGGCTGCATTTTTGGAGCTTCTTAAAAACATTGAGATGTGTCCTTTTTCTCCYTTGGAAATAGTTGGAGAGCAAGCAAAGAGAAGATTTGTTTGGTGTCACTTTAACGCAATAACTAGACCTAAACAGCAGATCTGGTAGTGCACAAGTTGTTTAATGCAGTTGCCTTTCTACCTGTTTTGCAGGTTGGTGGAAACAAGAATTGAACAAGCCAAAAAAAAAAAAAAAAAGCAACTTTTCTTTTTGATAGCAAAAAGTACTATATACTTATTTTTTGATAAATAATTGAAATAATGCTGTCCAAGATGAATGTAAATATTACTCTTTTTTTTTTTTTTTTTTTTTTTTTTCAGAAATCCAAATGCTGAAAAATCATTATCAATCTTCTGTACTTTAGAAGAAAATTACTACATTTGCACTGAGGAAATATTTAAATAATTTAACATACATTCCTTTTTTTTATCCAGGTTATCAAAGAAAAAAGTATTAAAATAACTTGAGGAAACGTTTGAATGACATGTCATTATACCTAAATACCATGTAGTACAAAGTTATCTTCAGCACAACACATTGAAATGTATACATTATTTGCATTTATTGTGCCTTAATATTTGTGCCTTCAAGCCAAAGCTCTAACTGCAGGGTACACARCAAATTCATTAAAGATACTTTACAAATATTTCACCTTAGTTTATTTAAAATGAATTTTGCATCAGGGGTTCTCTTGAACTCGAGCTGTTTGAAGTTGCCATCCTGCCGAAAGAGGGAGGACGGTACGAGCTGTGGTTTCGAATGGCTGTTGCTGATAGCGGCAAGAATGCAGTGGGAGAGAGATTCTGTGTCGGGTTGGTAGGTCCTGATTCAGCAAAGCACCTCCGCGTAAAGACACTATTCCCATGCTTAAAAAAGTCAAGCAGGTGCTATGYTGCTTCAGGGTTTTTTTTCATGTTTAGTGAGATTCCTCCTCTTTGAGGTCGGGCGCAGAATAAATCTTGCTGCTGAAGTGGTGCGGGAGAGACTAGAAAGTAACAGATCTCTGCAGGACACAGAAAATGCTGTGCTCTTCGGAAGGTTTTTTGCACTGCTGTAAGCTAAATACTGTTTCTCAGTGAGAAAAACCAAAGTGGTCTAAAACCAAAGCAAACCCACTGTTTCTCATTTCGGGCAGTTCTCCCGACAAATGGGTAACTCCAATACAGAACTGCTCTCTCCTTGTCAGGAAGTAACCTGAGGCCCAACCCAGTGCCTCGGCCTGAGGGCCGACCAGGCAGGTTCTCGTCCTGCACAGAGCCCAGTCCAGGAGCGAGAGGCCGGCCCTGCTTTTCCCTCAGGCAGTAGCTTTCCTGCGGCCGGGCTCGGGGTCCTGCTGGGGAATCCCGGGAGGGAAGTGACATCCTCTTGCTGGGTTCCTCCTGGTGCCCTGCAGTTCGAGGAGGGGCCCGGATGCTGTAGGGCTTGGAGCAGGGATGCAGCTTGTGTTGGTTTGGGGAGCCGTAAGGATCCCCCTGTGCTCTCCTGCCTTCTGCTCTGCTGCCCTGCACAGCACACGGTCTGGTAACAATCTCTAGTGCTGTTAGCAGGATGTTACCAAATGAACTATACTGTCACTATCCRGGTCTTTTTTGTTTGTTTTGTTTTGCTCTGGCAGGTTCTGACACTTTCTCYCTGGTGCGTCGCTCCTTGTGCTGTAGCCCATGCCGTGGAGGTTGGTGGAACTGAGCTTCACACAGTGATGCAGAGCACGAGCCCTGTGCCAAGCCTGGTGCTAAGTAGAAGAGGGTTAGGGACACGTTCCTGTCCCYAAACCAGGTGGCTCAGGTTGGCCCGTAGAAGCAGTGCTCCTGGCTCCTTGTCTCTTGCGCTCGCCACCAGGTCCCCGTCCCACATCACCTGGCCCTTTACCTGGCCTGCCCGTAGGCCCCGTGGCCTCATTCACAGTTGCTAGCCTGTTTGCTTGGGTCTCTTGCGTTTGGGTTTTGATTTGTCTGTAACTTTCGGAGCTCCAGGTGTCTGCAGTAGGGAYAGGGCTCGGCAGAGTGATGCCCGTGCGGCAGAGGTACGTGACAAAGTGCTGCAGGCTGCCCGGCCACCCGGCGTGCCGCTGTGGGGCAGGAAGGAGGTGAAGGAGGCGGGAGCTGGCGCAGCCCTTCCGAGGGCACCCGTCGTCGTCGCAGAGACCCCTCTCTGGAGCCCCCAAAGCAGGGCCGGGGAGGGAGCTGCCCCCTGGCAGCGCGCACAGCCTGTGGGGCCGGTGCCGCAGCCTGTCTGCCGTTGCCCTTTTTGCTGGCCRGCTGGGGCAGAGCCGCAGAGTCGCAGCCTGCTGGACACGAGGGCGAACTTGTAGGAGCCCATTCCTTTTCTCAATAGTTTGTTCTTACAAGAGAAAAAGTACCAGGTATCAGGACTTTCAGAAACTCTTAAGAGTGCATTCTCTCGGCCATATATCTTGAAGGTTTTGTTTTTGTTTTAATCAAAATCAATGAGAAATACGTCTGTGAAACAAGATTATAATTACAGTTTTGATACATTTCAGCACTGCATGAGTCTCTGGTAAGTTGTGTTCCAGAGCCCAGCTCCAAGATGCTGGCTGCTGCAGAGCCGCCGGCGTGAGACCCTGACACATCTAGCTGTCTRTCTATAAGGTAGATTTAATTTGATACTCGAGCTTTTTGAATGCRCACAAAAATGTTAGGAATCTCTGAAAATGCTGATTCTGCTTCTTCACATATTTTGACAGGACATTACTAGCTCTATGTATCAAATATCAATGTAAAAAAAGAAAATAAATTTAAAAAAAAAACATAAATTAACCCATACATTGCTTGAATAGAGCAACGGGTAGCAAGTCGTTCATATTGGTCATTGACTTTTTATCCATCTTTTTAGCTAAACGCAAATAACAGAAATACTTTAAACAGGAAATCTTTATGCAGGGCATTTTTTGTTGTTGTTTTTGCTGATATTTGTTCTGTTTAGCAGTTTGTTAAGACTGACCCATTTAATTTCACCTGAGGGGGAAGGTGCAATGCACTTGAAGGGGAAGACTCAAATCAGGTATAAGAAAGGCCTTTCTTTAGCAAATGCCTTCATTTGTTGAATGTACAAACTATCTTTCTGGCAATGTGTTTTGTATATCCTTGTAAGGAAAACTTCAAGTAGTCTTAAGCTTCCATTCTGAAAAAACAAAACCCCTCATGCTTTATTCAGAAATAGCAAAACTGGTTACATTCCATCATGGGGATCTTGGAAAAAGAACTCGGTCTTCTGAGTTATTAGCACCTTTAAAAGATTTCAGCGCCAGATGCCTTAAAGTATTCTGGAGTCTTCTTTCTTTTATATATACATATATATATATATATATATATATATATATACACACACATATATATATATATATATATACACACACACATATATATATATATAAATAATTTTATACAGTAATTCTAAAAATTATCAGTTACAGAACTGTTGTTTTTGGTAAGAGACGAGGAACAGCCTCTGCTTTTGATCTCCAGATTTGTACCAGACATTACATTTGTTGCATCTTTGCTCCACTTCTCATCAAAAGACTGATAAAAACCAACACAGTTCTCAAGAATAGGTTATTTGATGTCTTGCTTGTTCTGCGAGCAAAATTTTGTTTGGTGAGTTGAACCAAGGCTTATTTGCCAGGTAGTTTTTAGTCTTCTGCAGCACTGTTTACACTGCTCTTTGGAAGAGACAGGCTGTTCTTCTGACCAGGGTCAGTAAACTTGGTTGTTGACTGTTTCTTGAAAAGTTCTCCCCAATATGTTTAAAATAAAATTAAGAAATTAGTGGGAGACAAAAGACCCAAATGGTATAGAAACCTTCCTGCCAATGCAGCTCTTCATGTTATTCTGACCTTTTAAAATTTCTCAGTATGTCTGCCTTTTTTTTGAGGAAAAAAGAGAAAAAATAAGGTTGGTTGCTTCCTTTAACAGCAATGACCTTCTGCCACTTCAGCAGAGGAATGTGGCTTTATGTATATGTTTTACACTGTGTAACATGGCACTGCTTTCTCGTCATTTTAACTCTGGTTTTGTTTTGTTTTGTTTGGCATTTGTATGGTAATTTGATTTTGTTCCCGCTGCGGAATGATCTCTTCTGTTGGCGTTCACATGACAACTGTCATACAATAAAACGCGTTTCTCACAAGTGTCCAGCCTGTGTCGTTATTCCAGCGGGCAGCGGAAGGCAGGCACACTGCCTACCCATAGGTCGTGCTTGCAGGCTCCAAACGCCGCCTTCTTTTGTGGCGGTGCCAACCTCAGGGGTGGAAAATCCTTCTTTATGAGCTATAAAACAGAACCRTAAGAGTAGTACATCTTAGCCTGCTTTTACCGGCCTGCTGGCTTCAGAGATGTTCCCAGATCACATTTTCAAGCTTTTTGCGTCCGTGATGAAGCTAGAAAGCAGCTCAGACAGGTTTTCCAAAACTTGAAATAAATAAATAAACTGCAATTGCAAAAGAACCGAGTCAGAACAGAATCTCTACCTCAAAAAGCTACAAAGCTTAGGTGGGCTGGACAGGCCGAAGGAGGAAGGTTAGTGGACACATGGGTGAAATGGGTAACAGGACAWCTCCAAAACACGGTGTCCCCTCTCTCCTACCCATACTTCTTTATCTAATGAACTTATTATTTCATTTAACAAGACATTGTAACCTCATTTCTGAAAACTGCTCAGGGCTGCTGCTGGGTCTGCAGTCTGTCCATAACTCTTAGCTCTATTGGTGTGGTGTAGAGTTTTAAATGCAAGTTGCCTGTGACAACAGCTGCAGGTCAGCAAGCTCCAGAACTGATGCAGCCTAAATTGTCACCTGTCCTTGTGCAACGCATGATGCTCAAACACCTGTTGTATTTCTTGCCTTTCTACCAGAATTCCTGCTTATCCTTGCAGCTGAAGTGTCTCTGTCTCAATCTGCCTGTAAGGGGGCTCAGCTCGGCCATGGGTGCAGTGCAGAACTTACCCAGTCCGTGCGCTGCCCCGTCCACCCCAGCTCATCTCGGGTTAGGTGGAGTGAGGGGGACCTCTTACTTGTCCAG